GCCATGGATTTGGGCTGATGGATGGAGCCTGGAGCAGGAAGGAGCAGTGGGATAACTAAGGACCGCTGCTGTCAGTAAAAGCCTTCCAGCTGGCTTATTTTTAACTTCCAGTTTCAAAGCACTGCTCTCTGCAGAAGTATTTCCAGAAATACTTCAATTTTTGACAGTTCATTGATGCTGCAGGTTCCTTTTTTTTAGTATAAAGGCAGGTAACGTCAGCCTCCCGCTCTGGCCAGACGGAGCGGAACTGTCTGCACAGCCCGCAGCAGCTGTCCCTACCACAGCATCTTCCCTCTTCCTCCTCCTCCTCTTCCCTGTGACCTCCAGAACTCATCGTTGGCTGCCGCAGGACATGGGTTACGGCATTCCCAGCGGGTAAAGTGCTGCCCCAAGGGTGCGCTTGGTCCTGACAATGCCACTGCTCAGCCCCCGATGCACCTTCCCTACCGCAGAGCCAGGTTCTGATTTCCAAAGGAGCGTAACTGCCCCATGGAAGACAGCTGCTCCTACAAGCTACGCCATACGAGACCACCACCGTGTTCGTGAAAGACCCCCTTCCTTAGCCACAATACGTTAAACCCACAAAGATCCATTGATTTGGCTTATTAAACATTGCTAAAACCGTGAAAACAGTGGTCAGTCCCACCCCCCGCCGTGTTCCCTCCGGCTCTCCTCCTGCCATCCAACATATTTTGGCTATTCCTGTAGTCAGTGCTGGTTTCTTCCCAGCACAGACGCCTGTTTGGCTTCTCTCAGCCACCCGACAGCCCCGAGAAGCTGGCCAACGTGTTAAAAATTCCCTGATAGCAAACCTCCGCGCAGCTCATCCCCCGGGTCCGATCCCGTTAGCCAACCTCAATCCAAATCCTTTCACAGCTGCTTCAGGGAGCCCATTAAAAGGGGGGTGATACCAGAACCGACATTTTCTGTACAATAAGGTAAAAGCAAACTAGAGGAAAGAGAAGAAAATCCAGCTTCACGCCGGCTCGCCGCTGGAGAGAAGCAAAAACACCGTGCGCGTTGCCTCGGGTGACGAAGTGACACGAGTGGCCCAGCGTTATATACGACCCGTTGCTTAGCGTATGGGCACGTCTACGGGAAAGGAGCAAGAGCTGTCCAGGTGTTCCTGGGTGACTCCCCCCACTAAACATCAGCGTGCTCTTACACGTGCATTAACAAGAATACTCCCCACGGCCTCTCTTTGTAGGGCCACTTAGGGCCAAGCACAAGCAGAATCACAGGATGGTTTGGGTTGGAAGGGACCTTAAAGACCATCCAGTTCCAACCCCCCTGCCATGGGCAGGGACACCTTCCACTAGCCCCGGTTGCTCCAAGCCTCATCCAGCCTGGCCTTGGACACTTCCAGGGATGGGGCATCCAGAAAGCGCATCCCGGGACCCTCCCTGCATCCCGTACACGGCTGCCCATGCCACAGCACCTCCTCCTGCCTTCCTGCATGAGCCACCACCGAAGTGCCACCGCCTCTGCCAACCCGCTGCCGTGCCCTTCTGCCCATCCTCACCTTTTTTTTAAAACAATCATCGTATTTGTCTATTTCCACACGCTGGGGATGGTCCCCACCTGATTGTTCCGCGTCTGCCCTCCGGCTCACCCAGCCCGTCTCTACGTTAGGAAATTGGGCGCGAAGCAGGAGCGCTGGCGAAGACGTCAAGTGCTCTCCCTCGCCAAGCTCAGCATGTCCCAGGCAGGGCACCAAGCTGCCAGAGGGGATTTCCTGGTATGACCAAGCACACAGCAGAAAACGTCCCTCCGTGGGGAGCCTCAAGATGGTCTGTGGGATGATCCTGTTTCAGAAAGGGCCCAGCTTGTGTCCTCCACCCCACTGCTGCGCTGATGTGACAGCAACGTAGGTGACTTCTGGTCCTCACGCTTGAAATGAGTGCTCCTGGGTGAAGTAAGCAAAGAAAACACAGGATTTGCTGGGGGATGTAAGAAAGGCCAAGGGTCCACGTGGTGAGGGGACCAGCGCGTGCTCTGCTCGGTTGGCTGAAAAGGGCAAAGTCCCACCACACATCTTGAGAGAAAAGGAGGAGGAGGGCATCCTCCTGGAGCCCATGATGTCTTGTAAGGGAAGAGCAGTGTCGATGACAAGGCCTAAGTGCCGTCCTACTGCTGCGTCCCACGGCCGCTGCCCGGAGATCGCAGCTGCCAGAGCACAGCTCACCTTGGACACGGCGCAGCCAGGGATGGAGTGGAAAGGTGATCCCTGCTGAGACTGGACAGATGACTTGGGATGGGACCAAGCCAGGCACCTGGGACAGGGGACCATCTCCTGACGCGTGCAGAAAGGCGAACACAACACACAAAACAGCAGACGGAGTCACCTTCCCACCCAAGTAATAGCCCGAACTCAGCCGAACCTGGGCCACAGCACTCACATCTCTGCTGGTCCTGCGATCTCCTCCACTTGGCAGGCATCGGTGTCCCTGCTTTAACTTGAAGTGTGCCTTCAACTGCTCGTGGATGCCACTGAAGTGTCACATTCCCAGCTGCAGTGAGCACAGGGACCCAAACACGCACCCTTCATCCACCCATGAGGTTGCACCAGACCCCCAGCCCTCTCCCTTCAGTCAAGTGAGAGATGCTGTCAGGGAGAGAGAGACAAACCACAGGCACAACCAGTGACAAAGGATGCTCTTCATCCAGAAGTGGGATTTTAAGCACAATACATGCGCACTTGACCTGGAGAAGGCTGACTTTGGGAAGGGCTACAACCAGAGAGAACTGCATCTGCATCTCCTCAGCTGGAAGGGAAGCAGGACCCCATGCCACGGCTACAAAAAGCCACTGCTAAGCATTACCAACATACACAGGTTTATCAGCAAGTCTGTGCTACCTCGGCGTGGTGACAGCAGTTATATCCACAGCCCCAAGGTGACCGCTTCCACTTTCGGGCTCCCCAGTTTGGATGCTCATCATGCAGGCGAGATGCTGATGCTGAGGAGCTTTGGGCCCACGGGCCACGTTCGTCCACGGTGGGATGGGAGGAAGACTAAGGTGGCTGCTGACTGATGGGCGAAAGCAAACGCCACGCAAGGCGCAGCACTGAGACTCCTGGGAGCGGCTGATGGCTGATCGGAGAGATGGTCCAGGTGTGTCCTGGCTGGAAGGCTCCCAGGTCCTCCAACGCTCAGATTACGGAAAGCGTTACGGTGAGCTCGGATCAGGGCGAGTGGCTGCATATCAAACCATTTTAGAGGGCACGTGCCTGCTGCCGAGGGAAAAGCTGTTGTATCCGAGTGGTTGAGCATCTCTCCTACCTCCAGGACTTCCATGTACACCCGGGCATGATTACACAGCATCCCAGCAGGAAAGCATCCCCATACGTACTCTGCCCGCTGCACGGCGCTGACATCTTGGCTGGGGACAAGCTGGGCTCCAAGGGGCAGAATGGATGGCTGTCAGGCACTGGTCCGAGTGTCCCGGGAGGTGTCAATCCAAGCGCTGCCATGGCAAAGCCACAAGAGCCGGATGAGAGCCAGAGTCCCGCCGTGGTTAGATAATGCCATCTCCTGCTGAGGGTCTGGTGGCTGAAACAGACTTGTTGCTCCAAGCACGATGACGAGGGCAAGCTCTCCGGCATCCGCTGTGGTCCAGCCTGGCAGGCCTGGAAATGGCTGTTACCAGCCCCACGGCACTCGCCGCTCAGGTTTGCTCCGAAGACTGTGCTTGCATCACCTGCCTGACAGACCGCAAATCAGCCACGGAAGCGCACGGAGCTGCCTACTCCAACCACGTGTCAGCGCCCGAAAGACAAGAGGAAGCTTTGCTCCACGCGAGGGTGTATTTTTAACAGCCCATTCCCACGCGCTGCGGGTCTCTTGGCAGCTAAAGGGGGCTGGGAAGGCAACGTGCTGGAACGCTCCTCCAGCCCTGCTTCCGGCCAGGAGGCAGGACCTGGGATCTTTACAGGTGGCCCCTTGACATGCTCTCATCAGCCCAGGATGAAGCCACCGCGCTGGGGCAGCCCTGCTGCTGCAAAGCCAAGCCTCTGCTCGGCTGGCCGTGTGCTGCACCTACTGCTACCAGCTCCCTCAGCTCAGCTTCGTATCCTTTTATTGGCCTCACGGTGCTAAAGCGTATGCTTTAAATACAAAAGCTATTAAGACTGAGAAGCACATACTGGTTTTGAGATTTTTATTTCAGGAAAAGATTAAAGAATTAAAATAGGAGCTGCCCTGCTGACAAGAAGAGTTGAATTCAAGAAGCTGATAAAAAAGGAGCATTATATGCATTGAGCACTGTGCATTTTCAGTCAATATTGGCTCTACTTTCTACTCTACTTTCCTTTGACTAGGAAAAGGGAGTTTCACATGCGCACAGACCCTGGGATACACGGGACTCAATGAGAGGAAGGGAGTAACAGCAACAAAAAAAAAAAAAAAAAAAGAGTGCTGGGCTTGATCTAACAGAGGCAAGAAAGTGATCTTACAGCTCGGCCCCCGAAACACCGACTCCGACCACCAGCGAGACGGGAGGCAAAGACACGCCGACGGGGCGGACTCGACAGTGCACGTGAGCGTCTGCGGCTCCCTATCCATAACCACCTGGGCAGCCACCGAAGCTCCAACGGGCTTCGGTATCGCCTACATTCAGGATACGGCACAGTCACGGCGCAGGAGAATCGTTTCTTGCATCCTCCTCCAGCGAGATGTCAGTGTTGTACCTCCAGGCTGCGTACGCCGGGCTTGCGCTCCCCGACAGCTTCCCCCTAGGCTCTCCCCCCTTGTAGGTGCAAGTAAAGCAATCGAGATCAATGGTTAGATTAGGCTCCTGGTGTGCTCTGAGCACCGGGTCTCCTGACAGCAGTAAGAGCTAGGCACGGCCGACACCACCCAGGCCCTGCCCGCGTACCACAACGGTTGGTACGACAGAGCTAGCTTATGAACAGGCTACTGAGCCTTAATACTGACACTTAGTGTAATGGTTTACAGTAAAGGAAGGATTCTCCTACAAAGCGCCAAAGAGAGGGGGGAAAAAAACCCCACCCCATTCCTTCCTCTCCCTCTCCGAGTCTCTGGAACGTCTCACAAGCAGGGAAAGGTGGCGGGGAGGCGAGGGGGTGTCAAGACGAACGAGAGCAAGGACAGTCGTAAGGAACGAGAGACAAACGGTGCTGGTGCTGTGCTGCCTCAAGCTGGGAGGTGCGCGTGGTCAAGCGGAGCGGGGAGAACTAGTCTTTCTTCAAGTCCCTGGATTCAAAAAGCTTCAGGCGTTCTTGCACAGTCAGGCCTTCCTTCAGACTCTGGGAGAGACAAAAGACAGAGAGCGTCGGGCACGGGTGGGCGGAGAGGGGAGCGTCGGGCATCTGGCACACAGAAAGGGTGCGATGCTCAGGCAAAGGAGACGTGGGCAGCGGGAGAATGGGCTCCTTGGCGGAGAGATTAGTGGGACATGCTAAGAGAAAACACACGGTTATGGAGGGCGGTTACTGGTGAATGGTGCCTAGAGAGAGGGTGAGATTGCAAACGAACCAGGCGACGTACGAGAAGCAAATGAGAGGCACACCGTGCTGCAAGCGGGATTAGCTCGACTTGGAAAACGACCCCCGGAGCCTGTGGTGCAGCAGCCTGGGGCAGTGTTCAGCGGAGCTCCGGCACTGCTGGAGCCCTGGGACGGTCAGTTTGGATCTGCTACGCTAAAGCACCACGCTGCTGAGCAGGGCCTGCACGCCGGTCCTCCCCGCACTGCTGACCGTGCATCCCTCTGGGATGGCCCTGGCTCCGGTCAATCTGCAGGCTTTGCTCTAGCAGCCCTGGAAACTGGAGTTTGGTGGCCAGTGACAATCCCACCCTTTCTCTATCCCCAACCTGGGGGGTCTCCCAAGCCAAAGCTGCCTCTACTGCACAGGGTTAGACAGAGGACTCGCTAAATGCTTCAGGTCTAGCAGGGTCTGATGGCTGATCCGATGCAGATGCAGCATCCAGACTCCAAGGCACGACACTCAGCTAGCCAACAGCAAATCCCACCCCGCTAGCCCGCGGCATTTGGATTCGTGAAATCTCTCACCTACACGTGGTGACCCAAGGAGAACAGCAACGCGAGGGGTGGAAACCCAGAAGCAAATTCAGCTTTAACCTGAAACTAACCTGAAGACAGGCACAGCCTGACGCCAGCCTCCCCTCCTTCCCACAGCCCCGAGAGCGACTTTCCCTGCTGGGCTGCCCCTGCTCCGGGCCAGGCACCCCAGGTAACCGCTGCCTCCAAGCTGATTCCTTGGGAGGAATTCACCCCGCAGCTGGAACACTGTTTGCTTTACAGATGTGGCAGCTTCCAAAGTCACAGCCCTGTACGCAAAGCCCTGTCTGCTAACGGGCAGCAGTCGCCCCTTTTACCTCCCTGACCGTGGTGCCAGAGGGCTGCACGCAGCAGGTGGGACTCGGCCTGGGTTTTCTTTATCCCGTGTTTACCAAGGCAGGACTCCATGGTAAACTTGGCCTGAGGCTGGGCAGATTCCCATGGTTACTGTTATTTCTTTAAATGTTTCTCCTCCCACAGGCTCCCAAACACAGAACGGCTTGGGCAGGCAGCACGGAAATGAAAGCACTGCAACGGATTGGGTCGGAATTCACAAATGCTGTGTGCTTGCTTTTCAAGGGGCGGCAGAGTCTCTCGGGACGTGAGTCTCCGAGCACACACTTCCTCAAGGAAGTTTACTTTGGGCCTTTCTAAATGGGCAGCAACCCGTGCATTCCAGGCTGTACATCTGATTTCTCATCAGATGGAAGGAGACAATGGAAACCATTAGACTATTCTGCTTAATGGTCCAAATTCCAGCAAATTCACCCCTGAGGCAGCCTCACAACCCATCTGAGGGGAGTCTGATGAAGGGAGACTAATGTAGGGTGAAATCTGTGATAAAGGGATCCTCCATCGGACTTCCCAGGGCTCTCCAGCCACCCCTCTGCCACCGTGCTGGGAGCTCCCCGCTTTGCTCCAACCTCCCTCTGCAGATGCTGTAACCTCAGTCTTTACCACAGGCCAGTAAATTAACTCTTGCTCCAGTTACTCAAGATATCTGGGTCATTAGGATTGGCCTCGTTTCTCATCAGCTCCCTCCTTTTGCTGGATGAGCTCAGAAGCCTCAGGCCAGCGTGTGGGATGGAGGTGTAAAGCCAAGGGATGGAGAGCAGCAGGGTGGATGCCAGGGAGCTGGAGGAAGCCTGGAGAGCAGGAGGTTACTGGGCAAGGAAGACTCCTTTGCTCAGGCACGGATCAACCTAAAGAAGCAGCAATTATGGCTAAAGGAAATCGAGGGCAGCCCAGGACATCCCCTCCGCAGCTGAGACGGGGGCCACCACTTCACGTGCTACAGGTCTTTGTGGGAAATGCATTTACAGGCATCACTGACCCACTCCTCCGCCTGGCTAGCAGCGAAACGGCTCTTTCCTACACAGCCTGGATGTTGCTGAAGTTTAGTCTGAGGCATGCAGAGTCATTCAAGCATGCACACTCCATGTCCCGCGCTCCCAGCACAGCAAACAGGGAAACGTGCCCAAATCCTCGCCGTGACAGTTAGCTGTGTTGGCGAGGGTGGGAGGAGCAGGAAGACGAGAAAGCCATATTCCCCAGGGAAAAGCCAGAGAGACTGCATTTCATATGGATCATGGGTACGCTGACTTCTCCCCTTCCCCCTCCCCAGTGAAGTAATTAGCCGTAAATAAACCAGTCAGTCATTAAGAGCAGAAGGGCTCTCGTTTGCCACGGAGGTGTGAGCAGTGCATGCAAAAGGGGGCCGCTCCAGTGGGCAGCTGCGTCGCTGGGTGGGTGCCGGTTTGTTTACCTACGTGGCAGGGAACCTGGACTCGGGTTCATTTCAGTTATCCCATGAGACCTGCTCAATAACGGACTGTTGGAAGGAAAAAGCAAAATAAAGAAAAACAAAACAAAACAAGAAGCTCATAAATCCTAAACGCCATCGGCGTTCGCGCCGCCCCGGCCACCCCCGCCCCGGCAGCGATGCGAGCAGGCAGTGTGCCCCTACGGAGCCCGTGCTTGCTCTCCTCTCCTCCTTCCCCCATCACGCACGGGGGAGGACGGGGACCACAAGACCAATGGTCTGGACCGAGTTGAAGCGGTGAAGGGAAACCCAGCATCAGACCTGGCCCAGCCGTGGGCAGCGCAGACACCCCAAGCTGATGACCGGCCGCTGGCTGAGCTTGGGGGTGGCCGTTTCCCCAGCACGGGTAGCGAGCCAGAAGCCTTCGGCCTGCCCGGCTTCTCGCTCTACCCAAGGTCCCAACCACTTCAAACGTCATCACGAGACACCAGGTATCCAATGGTGAGTGGCAAAGCAGGTTTTGCCCATGCAACTTCCATCCAACTGACCTACATCTAACGATGATGTCAGCAGTTTTATTAGCCCTTTTTATCCCTGTTCCATACTGGAACAGCCAGCATGGAACTCCGGCAGTCAGCAGGCCAAGCAGCAGAGCTTGACACAGCATGACTGCGCTCTGGGACCAGCAGCAAGTACAGAATGGCTGGAGACAGACAGAGCCATCTGCACCTCGTTACACACGACCGAAGCGTGTTAAACATGCCCAGGACCAAGGCATCATTGTTCTACCTAAAGACCAAAAATCTTGCAGTGATGAACGCTGTAAAACCTAGAATGATGAGCACATTTCCACCTACTGACACCACCTAAATTTCAACTGAAAACGGGGAGCAAATACTGGGAGAGTCCTCCTGCGAAAGACCAAAGAACAGGGTGAACCTCATCCTTTCCTTAAGCAGGGAGCAGCTTCACGCCCGGATCTTGGCAGGGGGAGCGGGTCCTGGCTGCACGGCCAGCCCTTTTGCAGTCGAAAGCTTGCTGTGCTCCCCAGTGCCATCCAGGCTGGCACTAGTGACCCTGAAATTCTCTTCCCCAGTAATTGGTTTTCCCACCTGGGACCCACCAGAGAGTAACGCTGGGCATTTTCATCACACGGGGAGGGAGATCTGAGCTCACCTTTGACCTGATATTCCTTAGTTGCCGGCTAACACTGGATCTGTCTTTCTTCAAGAAATCGGGGTTGCTTTTTGATTTCATAATATCTGGGGAGAAGCAAAAGAAATGGCGTTAGCGTGGTGCCCATGGGGTTCCTGCAAGGAGCAGGGCTGGAGTGCCTGCCCTCCCAGCCCAGGCCGGTGCCCCACTGCGCCTGAGTCCTGGACAGGACAAGGGGTAACGGGTTTAAATGGAAAGAGGGAGATGGAGATGGGACATCAGGAAGGAATTTTTCCCGGAGAGGGTGGGGAGGCACTGGGACAGGTTGCCCAGAGAAGCTGTGGATGCCCCATCCCTGGAAGTGTCCAAGGCCAGGCTGGATGAGGCGGGGAGCAACCTGGTCTAGTGGAAGGTGTCCCTGCCCATGGCAGGGGGTGGGACTGGGGGGGCTTTGAGGTCCCTTCACACCCAAACCAGTCTGTGATTCTGTGATTTCATGACTCAGCAGCGCTGCTGGAAGGGCAGAGGGGACTCTCAGCCGTCTCTGCTCCCCTGCACTGCCTGTAGCATGAGGTTTCCCCAGTGCAAAATGCCAGAAGGCTTCCAAAGCCCACCAGCTTCCCACCCACAGAGCTGGAAGGAGGAACTGCCACCGGAGGACCATTCAGGTGCACCCAGTCCCTGCCCTCTCCGGTGAGACTGCCTGCAAGGATGCAGGCGTTAGCTCGGGAAACCCAGATTGCTCAGAGCTGCCGGGGAGGACTGACCATATCCCGATACAGTGGTGTTCACAGGGGATTTCTCTCCCTGAGCTTCTGTGGCTGCTTTCAGCTGCTCTTTCAACCTGCTGATATCACAGTCTGCCTTGGCCTTCACGATGCTCAGCTCCGTGTAGATGTCTTTGTACTTGTCGCTGGCGTATTTCTTATCCTGGCAAAGGAACAAGAACAACCCCACCGAGTCAGACGTACGGCTGGAGCCAAGGGGGTTGTGGATGTGCCGAAGAGGAGCTTGGCAAACGCCGACGGAAGAAGAGCCGGCAGCGGGGAGAAATGGGTAACGCGCGTTTCACACACACTCTCAAAGCCACGTCCGACAGCAAAACGGGATTTGAGACGGGCAGAAAGCCGCGAGCACACAGTGCTGCCCGTGCACGCAGCCCCTTGTCACAGCGCTACTTGTTTGTGGTTTTTAATGGGACCAAAGACACGGAATTCAAGCAGAATTCCCAGAAATGGCCTTGGCTAAGAGGCCGTCCGGAGCAAACCAGATCTGACGCTGGGAAGCTGGGCAGGTCTCTAACACTGATTACTTTTGCCATTTCAAATCTGATCTTATGTGGCAGAAAACAGGGAAAAACACTGAAGGGGATGTTGTACCACAAGAAGGGAGAAGGGGTAAGCCCTGAGCTGACAGAGTTGTGGAGTGCTTCACTGCAGGCACCAAAATGGGTATTCAGTTCCACTCAGGGGAAAAATTAAATGTTGTTTCAAATGTGGGGACAAGTGAGCTGAAATCTAAGCACAGGCACACACACACACAGAGGAGCAGAGCACAGCCCGTAGGAGGATCTGCAGAAAGGTCCCTGGGCATTACCCTCAGTGCTGTCTGCAGCTCGTCTTTGAGGGAGCTGATCTCCTGCTTCAGGTACTGGATTTCTGATTCTTTGACCCGCAGCAGGACCTGTGGGAACAAAAGCAGCGCGTGTCAGACACGGCGTGATCCCGAGATGCTCACCCACTGCACCCACTGACAACTGAGTCGGGGCTGGAGGCTCAGCCACAAAGCAGCTCCATGTCAGCACCGCAACGCTGTTGGTTCACACAAGAAAATCACTCCTGGGTGTCTTGGGAACTTGCCCAAGCTTGCCCTGGTGAGTGCTCCCTGCACGACCCTTGGTTTCTTAGTCCCCACTGCTTTGTGGGCCAAATCTTAGGGGACAAGCAGGGCTGGGAGAAGGAAGAGTGGGTATCTGGCTTGACACGATAAGAAGGGAAGATGAGGACCCCAAGAGCTCCTGGCCCTGTTACACCCCATGACACACAGTGCTGACGGGCCACGCGGAGCCATGGATGGCCACAGCGCTGTCCCGGGGGTCTGCAGGCACTTGAGCCCACTGACGCTGCCCCCTCGGCGTGGCAGAGCTCACCTCCAGCTCGTAGGCGTCCTTGCCCTGCGTGAGAGGCGCCCTCCCCCGCCCTCCCCGGTCAGCAGGGTCCGCAATCGCGTGATCTCCGCAGCCAGGCGGTTATTCAGCTCCTGGGGAGAGGGAAGAGCCGTTGTGGGAAGGGGGAGCGCAGGCACGGCTGGGCGCAGAGCCCACTGTGCTGCCCATCGGGTGGTTTGCCCGGCACCCCCCTGCCCGCCCCGGGCACGGCAGGGACCCTCACCTGGTTGTGGGCGTTGAGCTCCTGGTTCTCCCGCTGGCACTGGCGGAGGGCCTGCCTCTCAGCCTCCAGCGCCTGCGCCAGGTGGGCGTTCTCCAAACACTTCTGCGAATACTGCTCCGAAAGCACCTCCAGCTCCCGCTGCACCGACTGCAGCTCCTCCCTGCCGAAACACGCGCCGGGTAGTGCCCTCCCCGCAAACACCCACCCATACCCAGCCCCGGGACAACCCAACAGGGAACTAAGCGCGGAGGAGGGGGACTTGCACACTCGCCCTGGGAAAAACCTCAAGCCCAGAGCGAGCCAGCCCTTCGCTCTCCCGGCACAGCGGTGCTGGGGCACCGAAGGGGACGGGCAGTCTTTCTCTAGGAGGTTAAAGGGCAGGACTTTCCTCCAAAACTGAGCTGGGATCTACTCAAGTTTGCTCTGGGGACTTGGGACCGGGAGTATTTGCAGACCTGCACATCTTAGATGCACCAAGGTCAATAAAGCTGATTCGCTCAGCTCCCACGTGACGACGGCATCGCCACGACAAGCTCAGCGCCTTCTCCTCGCCTGGGTAGATTCGGCTGAGCGACTCTCCCGCTGCAGCAGTGTGAAAGGCAGCCCCGTGTCTGCACATCTGCTACCTCTAGTGACCATAAAGCAGCTGAATTTGGGTAGTCTGGGGGCACTGACCCAAACCCAAAAGATTACAGCAACCAGGAGCCTCCAATGGGCACAGTTGGGTTGGGACCAAGGGATGAGATCCCTGCGATGACAGGTCTGCCCCTAACCCGTTGCCAAAATCGAAGGGGAGAAAGGTGTCTCCCTCACGCGAGATTTCCCTGCAGGACACAGCAACAGATGGAGGAGGATGATGGTCTTACAGGTATTGCCTTCGGAGGGCCTCGATGTCGGCATTGACGCTGCTGATCTGGGAGCGCTGGGACTTCTCCAGCTCTCGCTCCAGCTCCTCCCGGTGCGCGTTCTTCATGGCTTCGATGGCTGCGTGGGACAGCGGAGCATTAGCACCCAGCACCCAGCACCGCTCCACCGTTTGTAAAGGAACAAAACCCGATCCCAGCACAACTCCCACTGCTTCGTGGCTCCTTTCAGCCTGTGCCCCTGGCTCCAAAGGGGCTTCTGGAAATCCCATTTTTTAATAAAGTCCAAATGATTGTCCCATTCACATGTTGTTTCCTGGATTGTGACACCTTGGATGCAGAGACCCTGGGCTCCAGCACTTTAAAACTCCCCAGGGCACTGAAGAATCAATTCAGTGTGGAATCAGCAATGAACCACAGGAATGACTTACTGCCCTTCTGAGATGGAATGGAAAACAGATGGCCACGTTACAGCTAAGGAGAGGGGTACCAAGCCTGGAGAAGGACCACGAGATGGGCTTCCATCAAAGGTGTATGTCCTACCAGCCTCCCCCCATCTCCCTGGGATCTCCACCCAGCCCTCATCCCACCCCACGCTCTGCTCCTCTGCATCGCAGCCCCCATGTCCCCATTAGCATGGAGCTGCCCCATCACAGGGGACCCTCTGGCCTGTCCCCATACCTGAGATGGTGGCAGCCGTCTCCTCTGCCAGCAGGCGGTCCTTCTCCTCCCGCAGCTTCTCCAGCTCCCGCTGGTGCTGCCGCTGCAGGTCCTCGATCTTCTTCTGGTGTGTCTCCTCCATGGCTGCAAAGCCCCTTTCACATGTTGCCTGCAAAAGGGACGAGGGGAAGGGGTTGGCCCGGGGCACTGAGCCCACCAGCAGTCACACCAGCCGGTAGGTCAGCACCCAAGTTCCATCATGGGGACCTTCTCCCTCCCCAGCCACGGCAGAACTGGCCGAGGAAGGACCTTGCGAGGTCAGAGCTTGTCCTGTCGGCTCAACCCCTGACAGCTCTGGTGAAAGGGAAGGACAGGGTAGGTCTGGGGTCACAATCAATCGGGGAATGCCAATATATGTTAAAAAACAACCCCAAAAAAAGCCTCCTTCTGCTCTCTTTAGCAATGTGGAAAGCAGATGACTTGTGACAGCAACAGGACCTTAATTCCCAACGGAGTGTCACTTCAAATGCTGCACAGGCAATTATTTGCCAATTCAATTACTAGGAGTGAACTTAGGCTGGGACATGGGAGCAGCGCTCTGTGGATTCAGGAGTCACCAGCCCCGAAATCTGGAATTCCAGCCTGGTCCTGCCCCAGGAACAGACCTCACTCCTGCCTCTGCAGCAGGGCAATTACAAAAGCCTATTTCCAGCTCCGCTGCCCCACCCGGAGCATTCGGATCCTGGACAGACATACGGCTGCGGGACAGAGGCAGGACAACAAAGCCACAGGCTCTGGGAAGGGGCACACACCAGGGATGCAGCGCCCGAGCCTGTCAGACAACGAGGCAACCCTGACGCCAAGCACTGCACCCAGCTATTCTCCCTCTTCATGTCACAAGGCTGGCTTTATTTCCCCATTCCAACTGATTTCTTCTTGATTCACACTCGTGTTTTCCACGGGAAGCAAGAATTGTCTCCTAGAGAGACGCCAGGGGAAATTTAAGGGGGATAAATTCACTCCCCCAGTGACAAAAGTGCTCGTGCAGCCTAATTCCCGCTGACCTCGCTAACATACACTCCAGCATCCCTTCGTTGTCTAATGCTCTGCAACCTGTGCCACTCTCACTCCCAATTTTCAGCTCTGGTGCTTTTATTCCTCCCTTTTAAGCTTAAATCCTGAGGCATTCTTCATGTTCTCAGCCTTTTTTTTTTTTTTTTTTAATGAAACACTCATAACTCAGTGCCAGGACCTGTCTGGACTTGGCTGGCTGTGGAATGGCACGAAGCAGCCTTGCAGGATTCTTCATTACACCTCTACCGCTGGAGGAAAGCGGTGAATGCTCCGCCACAGGCCTGGCTGTAGATCCAGGATTTAATGTATCGTAAACGCATTGCTATGAACCCAGGACATTCGAACATGTACAAACCAGTATCTCGTGTGACTGATGTTAAATTCTCCGTCAGCTTCAGAAGACAAAAATCAAGCACATTTTAAGCCTGTACATCAGGCAGGTTTGCAGTCAGCTGGTTAGCTTTCTAACCAAGGGGAGTTTTGTTCTGCTGTCCCTCTGCTCCCCACAGAGGTGCAGAGAGCTCTGCTCTCCTGGACCACTCTGCCCAGACGATGCTGCTTGCCCTCCCAGCAGGCAGACTGCAAGTTCGGCAGAGCAAAGCTGAACACAGAGGCGGGAGGTCAGGTTCATTGCTTGCTGTTATTTTTAGCCTCTATTTTCCTCATGTTTTGTGCTGGAAGGGACCTCAAAGCCCACCCAGTGCCACCCCCTGCCATGGGCAGGGACACCTTCCACTAGACCAGGTTGCTCCCAGCCTCATCCAGCCTGGCCTTGGACACTTCCAGCGATGGGGCATCCACAGCTTCTCTGGGCAACCTGTCCCAGTGCCTCCTCACCCTCTGCGGGAAGAATTTCTTCCTGACGTCCAATCCAAATCTAAATTTTGGTTCTGGCCTTTTCACTTCTTCCAAAGCAAGGACATCCCCCGGCACAAGTGCCCATGTTTGGTGCCTGGCTCCAGGACAAGGTGTCACCCGTGTCTCCTGCTGACCTGAGCCAGGGGTTCAAGAAGGGTTTTTCCTTGCTAAGGATTAAGATGGAGGAGACAGCGTTCAGCGAACACCACCGCTTCACTCCCATCTCCCGTCCCCGCACACCCCAATCATCCCTGATGGGACGCAGCAGAACTACTGCTCTGCCCAGGCTAAACCCAGCTTTTGGCTAGAGCTGAGCCACCCTCTACCCCCAGCCCAAACGTGAGCTGAAGATCTCGCAGCTGGAAGCAAACCCTGAAGAACTCCTGCTCCATGAAAGCTGGCATGGGCTGTGTGTGCAGCCTGCATCGCTGCATTCTGGCTGCCCGTTCAACCTGGAAGCCTCCCTGCGTGCTGCCGGGAGCCCTCTGCTACCCTAAACCCACTTCCTACCTGGAAACGCTCCCGGTCAAAAGCCAAACACCAAACCCAAGAGGTTTTTTTTAGAGGCTGTACCATCTCAGGCTAGTTTTGCAGCCAGTCCTGACTGGCAGAGCGATCTGAACACCGGCACTTTGCTGCCAGAGGGTTTTGCTGCCCCTCGCCTGGGTTTCCCGCAACTGTGCACTGTTTGTTGTGTAAAGAACGGCTGGTGTGCGACACAGGGTGGTTCTCCTTGCAGCCTCGTGCAGGGGAGCGCTGCTGCGTTGCAGAATTCGGCACCTGTCTGCAGCTACTTTCCCTGGGAACGTAGATTTTGAGAGCATTAAGTTTCCATTTCATCTTACATTTTTAAGGGCAGCAGAGACAGATTGGAGATTTGATCAGACTGGGAAAGACAGAGTTGAGGAATGCTTTTAAAGGGAACTCACAAACAAAACGTACGCCTCAGGTACGAGGAGAAACACTCCGGTCTTCACACTGAAGGATAACATGAAGTTATCAAGGTACTTCCAAACCCTCCCTCCCTCTACACGCAGCGACCACCTCCAATAATCAACCCTCCCACTGAGACCAAGCCCTCAGCAGTGCATTTAGACTACCCCAGCACGGAGAAAAGAGGAATGCCACACTTTGTAGAGGCCTTTCTAACACTCTGGGGCTCGCTTTGGCATGCTGGCTCTTTCAGGGGACACCCCTGGGTTTGGCAAGCGAACCCCAGGGCCGAACGCACCCTCCCGTACGCTCAGCAGCGGAAAGTGTTAAGGCATTAAACGTATCAAGACCTTTAAGTTTTCAAAGTCTTTCTGGTATTTTTCCCTCAAGGTGGAAGCGTTCCCTTCCAGATGCTTGTTTTCCAGCTCATCCCTCATGACGTTCATCTGGGCCTCCAGCTCCTGGATACGCTCCCGCAAGCCGTGCATGGAGTCCGGGTCGCTGCCAGGGCCATGCCCGGTGCCACCCGCCTCACCAGCCGGCCAGGTATCCCCACCATCAGGGCCCACCATGGGGGATGCCTCCGGGTGCTGCCTCTGGTACTCGTCCAGGGTCTCCTGCAGACGCTGCAGGTTCTGGCTGTAGTGCTCCTGCAGTGCCTGCAGCTCCTCGCCATGGATGACCTGCAGCTCCTTGATCTTGGCCTGGAACTTGTCCTCCAGCAGCTGCATCTGCTCCAGGTGGTACCGCTCCATGTTCTGCTTGTCACGGACAACGGCATCCAGCTGGTTGAGTCCCTCTGTCCTCTCGGCCTTCAGAGCATCCTCTGTCCTGCTTAGCTGCTCTATCACGTTGCGAATCTCCTCCTCATACCGTCCCTGCAATTCGCTCAAGCTCTTGCTGTGTTTATGCTCTTCTTCCTCCAAGAGCCTTCGCTGACCGTCAAGCTGGGCCACCTTTGCTTTGAGATCGGCGTTCTCCCGTTCAAGCACGGCGATCACCTCGCCGTACTCGCCCTGCTGCTTCCTAAGCAAGTCTTCGTACTCATCCCGAAGGAGAGAGACGGTCTTCACGCGCTCTTGGCAGAGCGCATCCATGCTCTGCAAGGACTCCTTGTAGGACTTCAGCTCTCTCTCGTACTCCAGTCGGACTTTGCAAGCGGCGTAACAAACCTGAGCCTGAACAATTGCATCTTGGACTAACAAAGAGGAGTACCGTTCAAGGTCTCCCATGCACGAATGGTATGAAAGACTCTGAGATATTTTCAGGAGCTTCTGACAGTCCCTCATGGCCTCCTCAGGAGGCAGAGAGAGTAAGGCAACGGATATTTCCTTCAGAACATTTGATTTGTCCTTTAGTTGTTGGGCAAGATCTTCCTGAAGGGAAACAAGAGCTTCACTACTACGGTCCGGCAGGCTGCCAATTCCCTCTGCCTTGGCTAATTCCTGACACGGCACCATTTGGAGACGGCTCCCGTCCCAGGAGATCTGGGTTCTTTCTGAAGCATCTTTTTGAATTTCAAGTGCTTCAGAAACCTGGTGCATAACTCTGTCAAAATCAGGAGTCCTGTACACTTTGATGATCTCCTCCAACATGCACTTATGCTGCTGGAGAGCTGTTTTGGTATTATGGAGGTCTTCTTCGATTGTTTTTAATCTCTGGTGAAAAGATTCTCGCATTTTCTGTGCGACAAACCCCAGTTCTGCCTTGACCAACGTAGCATCTGCTACAGCACTGAGAAAACAAGGAGAAAAGCCCAAACCTGTTGCTTCTGTTTTGCCCTCGGCTTCTCCTTCCCTGGCGCTCAGGTGCGCTCTCAGCTCCTCTACCTGGCTCCAGAACTCTCCTTCCAGCAGCAGCTTCTTAGACAGGACGCTGGCCAAGTCGATTGCTGTATGAGAAACATTTCCCGGCTCCAACAGAACCACCTCAGCCGTTCCCTGGATCTCTCTCAGCAGCTGAGATATCTCAGAGCTTGCATTTTTCAAAGACTCTGCTATTTGGTTGATGAGAGAGGCCTCGAATGCCACTCTCTCAGAAAGCCACCTCAGCTGGCTGGCGTCAAACCCTTCCGCTCGCTGCTCCCTGGAGACGGGCTCCTCTTCTCCCAGAAAACCTCCTTCTGGAGCGGGGCTTTCCGCGATAAGGCCTTCGCTCTGCTGATACTCCGATGGGACCGGCGCCCCTCTCAAGGCTTGGATTGCGTTTGATAAGGTCGCTTCCATGCTGGACAGAGTAACAAGGAACAAATCTCCCTCTTTTTCTTTGTCCGATTTGGGAAAAGACCTTAGTTGCTCCCTGCACTTCTCTAAGCAAGTCAGCGCTTGATCGTTTTTCATTTGGAACCCTCCCAGCTCGCTAACATGATTTTCTATGAGCTTAAACTTTTCCTGCCTCTCGCTCTCCAGCTGTGAGATCAAAGCACTGACTTGGGATAAGCTGGTCTGGAGTTGTTCCCGCAGCTGAGACTCCGTGTTGGCCCACTGATGGTGGAGGGCGATGAGCGTCTCCTGATTGTGGCCGTGCTGGCTTTCAAGCTTCATCGTTACATCCTTGAGTTTCTCCTCTGTAATATAAAGTTTGGTTTCCAGGGAATGGATGATGGAGAGATAGGTCTCGGAGTCGCTTGTCCCTGATGATGGGCAGCCAAGAGCTGGCTCTGATGACATGCTTTCTTCAGACAGAGACCTGTCTTGGCTCGTGTCCGAAGAGGTACTGCTTGTCCAGTTCTTTTCTGATCCATCCGGATGAATGTATTTTTGGCACTGGATGCTCGAGAAACGGATTCTTTGCCTCTTGGCCCCCAGGATTCCTACATCAGGCTTTGCTAAGGTTTTCTGAACTAACTCTGGGTCCTGGAGCTCCACAGCTCTGGACGGGGAGCCGAATTCCTCTGCTTGCCTCTGGCTGGTCTCAAGAACCTCCTCCTCCTCCTCCTCCTCCTTCAGTGCGTACGTCAGAGCTGGGAGGACATCCTGAGTTTGCAGAGGCTGCTCCAGTTGGGATGGGTGACTTTCATCAGTCTCGAGATTGGGGCCAAGATCTTCCGCCTCCTCAGCACATGGACCTGTGCCTACACTAGCTAATTTCTTTAAAGCCTCTTCCTTGGCCTTTAGCTTTACTCTAGTCTCCTCCAAATTGCTATCTAAAGCAACCATTTTAACCAAAGCCTCGCTGAGATCTTGATCTTTCTTCTCCACAATTCTCAAGTGCATTTCCTTAACGTGTCTCAGCTCTTCTTCTTTTTCTTTCAGCACCTTCTGCACACCCTGGAACTGATCTGACACCTCCTCGAACGACTGCTCCAGATTGTGGTAGTTGGTCTCTTCCATTTTCAACTTCGCTTGCAGCTTTGCAACTTCGTTATCCGACTCGGCAACCTGATTCATGAGCTCGTGGAACCGACATTTGATCTGATCTCTCTCTCTTTCGAGCTCCTCGATGTGCTCTGCGAGTTTCTGGATGCTGGCCTCCTTCACCACCAGCTGCTCCTCCAGCTGGTGGACAAGCTCGCTGCCTTCGAACTTCGCGCTCAGCTTCTCCTTCTGCAGAATCTCCATTTGCTGCTCATTATTTTGCAGCTGGTTCTCATACTCGTTGGCCTTATCCTCCACCTCCTTCAGACTCCGTATTAAAACCTGCTTCTCCCTCTCGCAGCTCTCCAGCAAAGCCTCGTAGTTCTTCTGCAGCTTCTCCTCCATGAGCATCCGCGCTTGCTCGCTGGCGTTCAGCTGCCTGCTCAGGTCCGCGATCCTGTCTTGGAGCCGCTGCACCTCTTTCTGATGGTCCCTCTGCAAAGCCTGCTGCATCTCCAGGTCCCGCAGCTCCTGGGTTTTCTCCAGGAGCAGAGCCTCTGCGCTCTTCAGCTTCTGCTCGCTGGCCTTCAGCTGGGAGCTGAGCGCGGCCTCGCCGTGCTGCCACTCCTCCAGCTGCTCCTTGGCTTTCTCCTTTTCGCTCCTCAGGTCGCTCTTGAGCTTGGCCAGGGTCTGCTCCTTGATGGAGAGCTCGGCTGCCGCGTTACTGAGCCTCGCCTGCAGACTCTGAATCTCGGCTTCGTGGTGCCGGATCACGTCCTTGGCCTCGGCATAGCTGCGCTTCAGCGACTGAATCTGCTGATTGATCAGCTCTTGACGCTGGCATTGGGCTTCCAGCTCGCTTTGGAGGTCCTGGTTGACTTTGTGGAGCCTCTGCCAGGCACCTGATGGCGAGGCGGCCACCTCGGTCTTAAAAAAATTGATTAAATAGTAGATTAGTAACACTCTTGGCTCTCCCTTCTGAGTGTCACACCTCTGGCCAGGCAGGCCACGGAAAAGCTCCTCACAGCGATTTGGCTGCTACCCACATGGTCCAATTGGGATGATTTGTTCTTGGCACAATTTTGTTTGTTTTAACCAAGTTTTGGGTTGTTTTTTGGGTTGTTTTTTTTTGAATAAGTGACAACTGCTTTCCAGTAACAGAAAACACGGACCACAACGTCAAAACAGCTGTACAGTAACAGGCTAAATGGAAAAAAATAAACCAAACCAAAAGTCAAACAGAACCAAAAAACAATGAAAAAGAAACACCAGCAGTAAAACGGAGACGGACAGACGAGAGAAAAACGGGAAGGGTGAGAAGGAGGAGGGGATGGGAATAAATTGAGAAGAAAGAAACTGCTTGTTTGGGTTTTTTTAGCATGTTTGTTCGTTTCGTTGCGAAACAAAAAGTGCACAGTTCGGGTAACACAGTCCTACCGACCCAAAGCAACAACAGAAAGCGAGGTGACAGCAAATGACATCACATCCCACCCAAACGCAGGGAGACAGGACAGCCGGCGTGGCGATGTCATTTCTGTGACTGCCAGACAGGACTTAGTGGCTGCTCATCGCATTAGAGAGATGTCGTTACGCTAAAGTTTAAGACTAGGGAAGGTCTAATTTCTCTACCTGCAAAAAAACAAAACAAAACAAAACAAAAACAAACCAACAAAGGACAAAATAAAAAGCCCGACAAGTGGAAGGAGGGAAGAGGTGTGATGAGAATGTAAAATAAAAGAAACCAACCTTTGTGAGATTCAAACCAAAGCAATGTAGCATGCAAGGAGAAAACTCACAGAGAGAGAGTCATGCAAAAGGCGACAGAAATTATGTATCTTTAAAAAAAATACACAGACAGGAAGAGGCGAGGGAAGCACAGCGTTAAGCCTAGGAATTTGGCCTGCCTTGCTGTACTCTGGTTGCTGATAAGGAAAGCCCACAGATGTGACACTCAGTTATGTTAAGTTAAATTTCATGCTTTACACCAAAAACATGCAAGAACATCTGCCCGGGATAGGTTAGTAGGTGACCCTCTCCCACCCACCGTGACCGGAGCCGGGGGATGTCTCCGGTCCATTCGCGAGGAGCAGGAGCCCCCGCTGTTTCTCCCAGTAGGGTTCAAAGTTGGGGTGCCCCGTCCCGAGGAAGCTCAGAGCGAGAGAGGGGTTACACGAGGCCGGAGAGGCTTCCGTGCACGGCACATGCATCTTGGGGGGGGAGGGGGGTAGGATCTCAGCGGCTGCCCTATGAAACGTGCAGCGTCTTTTATGTAGGGGCAGTGCTTGGGGGTCTGCATGGGGCTGCAAGGAGGGGATGGGGCCCCCCCAAGCAGCTCAGGAGGGATGGGCTGGTAGCAGTCAGGCTCCTCCATCGCCCCCATGGACAGCGTAGGAACCTCTCCAAAATTAGGCATGATGCGGGGGGTGGGGCTGGGCACATGAAATTCAGAGGGTCCATCCAAAATAATGCTGTAAAGTTTACCCACAGTCTAGGGCTGCAGAAACCCACCCCCCAGCGATACTACTCCCTCGACCCCATCAGGGCTTGGTGGGGTTACTCCCTTCTACAACAGGACTTTAATCCCTGTGCTCCCAGGGAAACAGAAGGGAAATCCTCAGAACAATTAGACTGGAGCAAGGAAAAGCCTCCAACCCTTCCAAAAACCCTCTCCAGCTTCTAGGTCAAGGTTTGGGTCACTTCTCACAGCAGGGATATTGCTCAGCCCTTCTGCAGATTTCCCCTCTTACCCCCCTCCTTGTATCGGGGTGCTACGGCTAACTTCAACACGGCCAATCTGATGGTGGATTCAGCATCCAGCTTTTAGCCCCATTCCCTGATTTTTCCAGGCTCCAGGCAAAGGGAGGTTGGATGCCTTTGCCCCAGCAAAGTGGGAGATAGTTATTCTTCCAACACTGCCATGTGAAAATGGAACTCCTCCAAGAAAGGACTGTCAGCTTGGGGGCTCCAGAAATAAATGCATTAATAACCCCTCCAAGGAGATCTCTGGCAAGGAAGATGCACCCCTGCCAAGGCTGGCTTCACTGCCTCTGCAGCTTCTTCGGGGGAATTTCCTCCCGTGAGAAATAAGGACGCAAGGTTCAGCGTCGACACCGGGTCTGCTGCCATCGGAGCGCAGCATGCAGCTGCTTCGATCCACAGCCAGCTTGGCCGAGCAGATCTGAGCAGGTTGAAATGCTGCCCCTGCACAAAACAGGACTATGGCCCCACGAGAGCAGCCAGAAGCTGCTCCTCTGGGCATGAATGCTCCCAAAGGAAGGGCTGGAACAAGTCCGCTTTGTTTGGAGGAGGAGAGGAAAGGCTTCCCAAGACACTCTCCCATCTCTTTTGCCAGAACCTCCACAAAAACATTTCTTGGCTTTGCTGAGGAAAGGCATCGTGTAACAGAAGAAACTACCCAAAGTGATCCAAGATCGTCCCGGTGAAAATCCTGCTCTGGCTGCGGGGAACGGGCCCGGCGATAGGGCTGAGTGTGCCGTGTTTGCCCACGTAACCGCTGCACGAGCTCCCCGTCCAGCAGCCACTGCCGGGCTACGAGACGCTTAGAACACCCCTACGTGCACCCCACTGCCCGAGGGCACAGACGGGGAAACGGCTGTCGCACAGGCAAACACAGCAAGGGTGGATCAGAGGGGGACTTGGCTGAGGTCTGTCTGCCGTGCCTGTGCGCTGTTTTCCCGAGGGAGGCCCGGAGGTAATGCTCCCTTCATCCCACATCAGAGGTTTTGTTAAGCAGATGGTCCTGGCAAGGCTACAGAATCAGCAATATTTGCAAGGTGGTCAAACCTCCTGGAACCACTCAGGGGTGCACATCTCTGCATCAACCGGGACGTCCCCACGGACACCCTGGACTGCAGCCCTGCAGGATTCCCCTCAGGCACAGAGGAAAACGGATTTCTCCCTCCTCCCCGCTCTCCTACCTGCAACACGTAGCCCTCCCGGGCGCTCTGCTCCCGGCCCAGTGCCACTTTCAGCTGGTCCTGCAGGTGCCGGTTCTGCTCCAGGAGCTCCAGGGCCTCCTTCTGCTTCTGCTCCAGCTGGAGGGACAGGAAGAGAGACAGCGTCCAGGGAGTGGGCAGGGGGTCGGCCATAAGGAGCAAGCGGCTTGGAGGAGACATTAGAGCAGAATGAACGGGGCTTTTGATGGCACCGCTCCTTTGCTCTGCTCTGGGATCTGGATTTCATTTTGCCAGGCAAAATCCCTCCCCCCCTGAAAGAACTAAGTTAGGCATTAGGTTAATTCGTAAAGCTCGCTGCAGCCAAGGGTGAACGGCACCAGCTCGTGCCAGGCATGACCCAGGCAAATCCCAGCCCGGGTCAGATTGGCGATACTCCTGGTTACCCCACGCCTGCACCCCTTTCATTCCTTCTCATACCCCTTAATCCCACCTAACGGCTAACAACACCCTTGGTTATCCCAGGCGTGGACCTCTTCCAAGTGAGCCGAGTCTCCACTTTTCTTGTCCTACAATCATTAAGGTCACTTGATGGAGGCTCCACGCAAAGGGAACCG